TGTGGTGACAGCGAAGTGGTGGCAAGGAAGAGGGGAGCAGCCCCACCCGCATCTGACCCGTCATAGCAGAGCCACCTCCTCTGTTTGCGCTGCTATCCTGCCTGGGCCTGTCCCCACTGAACTGCTTGCTTTGCGTTAGAAGCAGCCGTTGTCAAGGGAGGGGCAATCGCTAAAGAGCAAGTAGCCACAGCATGCAGGCTGTGCCAGAGAGGAGCCTGAGTCCTCCACCACTGCGCAGATACCGGTCCAGCCCAGCAGAGGGAAGCAGAGTCCAAACTGAGAGGGAGCTGGAGGGGTGGGGCTGAGTTTCACTGAGGGTGGCTTTGGCTTGTGCTAGGACAGACTGCTTTTACTGCTCTCCTGGGTCTCATCTGTCAGTACAGAAGGCCCTGAACCCTCCCAGCTCCACTTCATCAAATTCACCATCCCAGTGTCCTGCGTCCCTCCCTCAGGCCAGCTTTCTTCAGGTCCTAACACTGAGATCACCTTTCCTTTAGCTTCCTGTGGCACTTATGCTCCCAGGCTTGCAAAAGGGCTGTCCAGTTGCTGTTGTGTGACGTGTGGCTGAGGCTGGAGGCCTAGCTGTAGATGCTCTTCCTGAGGGGGAGAGTGCGTGCCTGCCTGTTGCATGGTCCTCACACCAGGCTCTCATATGCTGTGTCGCCTCACCTGACTCTTGTCCTCTGGACAGTTCCACAGAGGACATCCCCCACAGGTCCCAAGAACATGCAGACCTCTGGCAGACTCAGCAATGTGGCCCCACCCTGCATCCTCCGGAAGAATCCCCCCTCAGCCCGAAATGGTGGCCATGAGGCTGATGCCCAAATTCTTGAGCTCAACCAGCAGGCGAGTGACATGAGAAAGGTAGCGGACACTGGGGACAAGAGGGAGGCAGGAACATCTGGCGTAAACATTTCTTTCTGCCCACGCAGCTGCTGGACTTGAAGCTGACGGTGGATGGGCTGGAAAAAGAGCGGGATTTCTATTTCAGCAAATTACGTGACATCGAGCTGATCTGCCAGGAGCACGAAAGCGAAAACAGCCCTGTCATCTCAGGCATCATTGGCATTCTCTATGCCACAGAGGTGAGCCCTCTCTTCACCTCCCTCCCACTCAGCCCTTGTTTCGAGGCCGGCCGTGTGGAACCTGATCCCTCAGCGTGGCCAGCTGGCTCACCATTTCTCTCTCCTCCCCTCCAGGAGGGATTTGCGCCCCCTGAGGATGACGAGATTGAGGAACACCGACAGGAAGACCAGGACGAGTACTGAGGGTGGCACCAGCCCTGGCTGACTGTGGCTCCCCCACCCCACCCCACCCCACCCCATGCCCACCCCACATTATAGTCCTTTCTTTCCAGCCAGTCAGCCAGCCGGGTGCTTTGTGTCAGTGCCGCAGCATTGGGGAGCCAGGCGAGTAGTGCTTGGGAGGTTGGGGCAGCTGAGAGGGTGAGGCCCTGTCTGGGTCCCTCAAGTGGCACTGGCCCAGGGGATGTCCAGGACCCCTGCCCACTCCCCACTCCTATTTATTTCCGTTGTCTCTATGCTGTGTTGGCCAACACTTTTCAGGGTGCTGCTGTCACCCACACGCCAGCCATCTGCTCCCTGACAGCCAGCAGCTGTATATTTGACAAAGTCATTGGTATATTTTTACTTACTGGATTGTCCTTGCACTTTACCTGTTCTTTTCCAGGGCTCACAGCAGGGCTTGGGGCAGTCTTCCTGGCTGGGCTCCCCTTCCCTAAAGCCACGACTAGGGCAGGACTCACCAATTCTTATTTATTTTGTCTTTTGACTTCTCCCTCAGTAGTTGAGGGGAAGGCTGACATGAGGAAGGGGGAAGGAGGACTGAGGAGGCAGTGCTGTGGGTCCAGGGATCAGGGAGACAGAAGGGAGCATGCAAGGGATAAAAATGACCTTCAGGCACTGGGCTCACCCACCCAAGGCCCCTGCCTCAGCACAGAAGCCCAGCACTGCCTGGAGGCTTCCTGTCCACTCCCTCCTGCAGCCTAGTTATACCACACAGACTCTGCCGGCCCCCATTGTCTGTCTGTCCCCCATTTTCCCACCTCCCCACCTTTGCCCCTTGGGCACCAGCCTGCATATGTGTTCACTTTTATTTAAATAAATTTGTGTGGTAAAAGCCCTTGCCATGTTTCTCTCGACTGAACCACAGCCAACAATGAGAACAGGTCCCCTTCTGTCCTCCTTGTTCTTCTAAGAGGACAGCTGGGCAGCACAACCTCACGTTATCGGAAGCCACCACTGACACTAGGCTCTGACCTTGACCCAACTCCCAAGTCTGAGGACTACTCTTAAGGCAAGTATTATGTGGCTCTTCCGGGGATATAGTGTTGTGTCTTCCAAAATGAGATGGCACCAACAGCCCAAAAAATGACTTCTTCAAGTTTATCTTGATGGGTTTATTAGGGATGACTTCTAGGCTAGTGGATGATGAAAGCACCTCTCTACACACCCTGCCAAGCTGTTTCGTACATCTCTATGTCCAGAGCTGAATGAATTCAAATGCTAGGCACTACCTAGTGTCAAAGTACCAGACTCAGCATAAGGCGCAGACAAAGCAAGACACTGAAAAGACTGGGTTTATATGTGCCCAGTCCATGCCCTGGCCAGGAGCAGAGCCAGTTCCAGCATACACCGTCCAGATGAAGCAAAGGGTGGCTGGTCTTGCTATAAACTGGTGCATCAAATGGTGGCTTGCTGTAAGACAGTTCTAGGATTTGGAGTGGTCTCACCACAACAGAGGAGCCTTAGGAGAAAGGATGAGGTCTAGAGCTGTGGCCATAGGAGGACAGCCCAGAAAGTGGCTGTGGGGTGACAGGGGAGGGAGGGACTACTTGGCCCACAAATGTTTTGTTCCAGTCTCCTTCAGGCTGGACTCTTGTCAGAGTTCTTAACCTCACAAGAGCTGCGCAGCAAACAGGCCTGAGGCCCAGAGCACAGCAGTGTCTACACTGTCCCTCTTTTTCTTCCTCATTATTTGTGTATGTGTGTGTGGGTGTGTGTGCATGTATGAGCACTGGGGGTGAAAACCAGAGCCAGTACCCACCCCAGCCCTCAAGTGGGTTGTTCTGTAGAACAGGGTGTAACAGAGGAAGGAATCAGAAGCACTTCCACATCATCCATACAGCCCCACACGCCTGGAGTGTGTTTGTCAGAGAGGAATGCCAAGGCCCTGGAAGCCCAGCAAAGACCAAGAATATGGAAGTGACTCTGGGCCCCTTGGGATCACCTAGACCAACAGTTCTCAGTCTAACACCATCAGAAAACACAGATATTCACAGATACTGTGATTCATAACAGTAGCAAAATTACAGTTATGAAGTAACAACGAAAATAATTTTATAGTTGGGGATCACCACATGAGGAACTGTATCAAAGGGTCACAGCGTTAGGAAGGTTGAGAACCACTGTCCTGGACCATGCAAAATGAGGCTTGGTCAAGGTGGTAGACATCTTGGTTAGGATCCAACCTCTTGTTTAAATGTTTGTTTTTGTTATTTTTACTTACATATAGGTGAGTGGGTATATACATGTGGATGCCCTCAGGTGCCAGAAGAGGTCACGGGATCAACTGGAGCTGTAGTGGGAAAGCCAGTTCTGTTTCTCTTCTCAAAATAGGGCCTCTTCTGTGATCATACCTGTGGCAGGGATCCAACCAAAGGAGCATTGGTGGTGTCTGAGAAACAAACTGATTGGTGATCAGCTCAGATACCTTCTTTGCAAAGACATTCCATCTCAGAGCTCCCTGAGAGACAGGCAGCCGTGGTCCAGCATAAAGGGGATGGAGGATGCTAGAAGAAAGTTACAAGGGTTGGTCACCCCTGACCTGCTTTCTCCCTCCTTGACCCATCCTCCACACAGCCCAGTGTTCTGTTTTTTAAGGGCCATGTCACTCTTCCACTCAGTTTTCTAGGATGTAGAGAATAAAGTCCAGATTTGGCAGCCAAAATCCTTTTCCAGTCATAACAAATCCTGGCATGTCAAACAACTACTAGTTTGACCACTCTTAGACCTTTGCCTAAATGAATAAGGCCATACAATTGAAGTAGGCTCTCCTCTGGCCATGGTCCCCAAACAATGAAAATTCTCCCTTCCTAGGAGCCACCTCAACTGCTGCCTATTTCAGAAACCCTTCACTCATCCTCCTAGGACGTCACGTGTCCCTCCGCTGAACCTGCTCCTGAATATGTACAACAGTCCCGAGACTTTAATCCCAGCACTGGGGAGGCAGGAGGCAGGGAGCAGAGGCAGGTGGTTCTCTGAGTTCAAAGCAAGCCTGGTCTACAGAGTTAGTCCCAGAATAGCCAGGGCTACAAAGAGAAACCCTCTCTCGAAAAACACTCAAGTACATGAAACCAGCACATTTCCTTAACTGAGAAAATCTCGTTGCTGCTTCACCATACGTCATGTTCCCTAGCTGGGATGATTCAAGGTTAGGAGGCGATTGCCTTCAGCCTGGGGCTCTCCACCACTTAGCTAAACATCTAGAACATGGCATGAACCAGGGAGCCTTTCCTTTCCCCGAGGCCTGGAAAGGGAACAAGGCCTCGCCGCCCCAGACTTTTCTCAGCCTTTCCCTGCCCAACCCTCTCAGCGCTGTGCTTCCTTACCACTTCTCAGCAACTAAGTTTCTTGGCCGCCAAATAGGAAGTGTAATCGCTAGCAGACTAACACTTTCAAAGAAGGAAGAAAACATTTAACCCTCAAACTCTCCGGAGGTGAGAACTATATTCATTCCATCCTTCAGGCGCATTGCCAAGAAAAGGAAAAAAAAAAAGTAACAGTGACATCTCCAAGGAGTCCAGGGCCAGGCCAGGGCCGCAGGTGCACGTGAGGGAGGTGTTCGCCGCAGGGGCGGGGCCTGGCCGGGGCCAGCACTCCCTAGTCCAGCGGCCCCGCGGCGCGAACGGACTACGAGTCCCACGATGCCTTGCGGCGGCGGTAGCAGCAGACGTGGCACCGCGCGCAGGCTGTGCCGACTGGAAAGCCGGGAGGTGCCGGAGCCGAAGTCATGGCGGCCAGAGCAGCGGGCAGCGGGGGCTGGGAAGTGGTGAAGAGGGGCCGGCGACCTGTAGCAAGCAGCAGCGGACGAGGCGGAGGCGGCGGCGGTGATCGCCGGGCACTCGGAGAGGCAAACGGAGTGTGGAAATACGACCTGAGCTGTGAGTATCCGCCGCCCGCCCCCCTGGGCCTGTGGGGCAGGGGTGCGGCGCAGCAGCCACGGGAGCTGGGAGCGGATCCGCGGGGTCCGAGCCACCCTGGCTTATAGCGCAGGGAGAGGTGGCCATCCCCACTGCATAGATCTGGAAGCGGAGGCCCAGCGAAGCGGACTCTCGTGTCGGAGGAGACTGGAATTCCGATTTCCATCTGTTCAGGCCTTTACACACAACCCTCTCAGCTGTCCCAGCCCTCGCTGGCCAGGTGTCTGATCGACAGGGCAGAGGCATCTGGGATACTGCTGAGTTACGAGCAGGGCTGAGAGGGCTGGATGAGAAGCCCAGCACTGGGAGAAATAACCCGACAGCCACTCTAACCACGAGTTAATCTCAGTATTACCTGTTTCCACAGTCCCCAGAGGAGGGGAGAAAGCTTGCCACTTGTTGAGTATAGAGTTGTCATCTCAGAACCAAGAAAAGTTGGGGGTGGAAAGCCATGCTAAAAAATTTCTACCCTGAGACCAGCAGGCAGAGCCATAGAAGCCCACCCCCTGTACCCAAGTCTGGCCTGGCTTCCATGTACTTTGATTTGTCTAATAAAGCACTGGAAGAGCTAGGGACCTCCCTGTGGTGACTGAAAACAACCACCAGGAGAGCTCGTTGCTGTACTTCTAAGCAGCTCCCAAAGAAGAACAGGGCTTGGGACAGAATCCCCTTGTGGCTCCTGGGGTCTTAAGAGTGACCTGATGTTTTCTGCCTATCATCATTCCAGCTCCAATCCAGCCTGCAAGCACTCTTTATGAGCGTGGCTTTGAGAAAATTATGAAGCGGCAGAATAAAGAACAAGTTCCGCCCCCTGCTGCAGAGTCTAAGAAACCAGTAAATAAGAAGCAACCAAAGAAGGTGACAGCTGTCACTAGCCAAAACCAGAAGCAGGGCCCATTCCGAAGCCTGGAGGATGCCCTGAAAGCTGTAAGTGTGCCTGGGCTTGGGGTACAGAGAATGTAGGGAATTGGAAGCAGGTATCTGTGGGATTTGGGACACCCAGATGAGAGGCAGTCCAGAGAAGATGGCAGTGCCAAAGGAAGGAATGTTTGCACGTAGAATAGAACGGAAGTGAGATGTTCATAAGTAGCATAGGTGAGAAGAATGATGGAAATCCCAGGAACAAGATGGAGATGTTAGAAAAACTGACCTGGGGGCTGGAGAGATGGCTCAGTGGCTAAGAGCATAGGCTGCTCTTCCAGAGTTCCATTCCCAGCACCCACATGGTGACTCAAAACCATCTGTAATGGGATCTGATGCCTTCTTCTGATAGGCATGAAGACAAAGCGCTCATACACATAAATGAATAAACATATTTAAAGAAGAAAAGAAAAGCTGCCTGGGTTCCCTGTCCCATCTTGCCCTCTCTGTTCCTTGCCCTTGAATATGTGAAGGGCCTACAAGTTTGGGGCATTGGTATCCGCCCTCTCAGCTGTCCCACCCCATATTCTCTTAGGATCTGGATGTGGCACAATGGTAGGATTCCACATAACAGAACCATCAGCCACTTTCCTACCCTGCTCCTGCTTCTCTTCTCCTTAACAACTCACCATGGAGGTTCTCTGTCCCCTGACAGCTGGATGTGGCAGCTCTGCAGAAGGAGCTGGACAAGAGCCAAAGCGTGTTCACCGGGAATCCCTCTGTGTGGCTCAAGGACCTGGCCAGCTATCTCAACTACAAGCTCCAGACTCCACGGCTCGAGCCCACTCTGAGCCAGTATCCACATGGTTAGTCCCCCATCCCTCAGCTCAGATAAGGCCAAGGACAGCCTAAACGGGTTGACATTCCTAACAGCCCAGTGCCTTTACTGTCCTGAGTCAGACAAGTGTCTGTCGAGTGGCTGGGCCTCCTTGGAGAAGAGAAAGCCAGCCTCGGTTGCAAGGGCATCTGGTCCTAGCACTCACAGAGGCCAATGGCCCCAGATTATCCCTACAGCCTCGTGAGCCGAGAGCTCCGTGGGATCATCCGAGGGCTCCTGACCAAAGCCGAGGGGTCTGTGGAGCTCTTTTTTGACCACTGTCTGTTCACCATGATGCAAGAGTTGGATAAGACACCAGGTAAGAGCACCCTAGGAAGGGTGGCCATCTTGAGAGCCAGCCCACTGCTTTTTTTTCCTGCTTCCAACATGCTCATCAGTTCTCTTTTCAACAAGAAATGTGCTAATCCTCACATTGTTTTTGGAAAAGGAAGAGAAAGCGATTAGGATTTGGGCTCACATCTGGGGGGAAAAGTATAGGATGCCAAGTGATATGAGTAGATCTGAGAATATACCTCTCTCCAGGAGAGTCGCTACATGGGTACCGAATCTGTATTCAGGCCATTCTGCAAGACAGACCCAAGATTGTCACCTCAAACCTGGGCAAGGTGAGGCCTGGGTGGTGCTGGGGACACCAGGGGTAGGGCTAGGGGAACTAGATAGACGTTGCATTGTTGGTCTTGGTTGTGGAGAGGACTTAACACATAACGCCATTAGCATTGGCCAAGTGTCTATTGGATAAGGATGACCCGTACCTTCATTGTATCAATGGGCTGGCTGGGCTATTGAGAGGTTCCATAGCTTTCCTAGAATTGGTCAGCACTTTGAAAAAAGTGGGGGAAACTATCAGCTGAATCACTGTGCCGCACTGCAATGGGGTTCACTGTTCTTGGCACCTTTCCCACCTATAACCTTCTTCCCACTGGGATCTGTAGTGCGCCTGGTATGCTGACCTGTCCTTTACCTGTCTACCCATCTTAGTTTCTAGAGCTTCTGAGGTCCCACCAGAGCCGACCAGCAAAGTGCCTGACCATCATGTGGGCCCTGGGGCAGGCAGGTTTCACCAATCTCACTGAGGGACTAAAAGGTAACCAACAGAGAAGGATGGCCCAGTTTCCTTTCTGATGGCCCCTGTGCGGGAGCCTGAGACTTCCTGGCTTTCAACTCCACAGTGTGGCTGGGGATCATGCTGCCTGTGCTGGGCATCAAGTCTCTGTCTCCCTTTGCCATCGCATACCTGGACCGGCTGCTCCTGTGAGTAATGGGGGGACAGCGAGGGGAAGGCCCAGGGTGTCCACAAGAGGCTGTTTCGGCAAAATGGGATGCTGTGATCCTGGTCTCCATAGATGCGAGGAAAATCAGGACCAGCTCCTCCCACCTCCAAGTGTGATGGTGAGGAAGGAAAGGGAGGGAGCCATCCGGGGCTGGGGCTGGGGTACAGTCTATCCCTTTCCCCTGTACACTGGCTTAGCTGAGTTTATGGCTGGAGCACCGCAGTGGTTTCCAAGAAGTCTGCTTCTTCCTGCAGGATGTATCCCAACCTCACCAAAGGCTTTGGCATGATTGGCCCCAAGGACTTCTTCCCACTTCTGGACTTTGCCTATATGCCAAACAACTCCCTCACACCCAGGTAAGCCCGTGTGGAGCATGCACACTGAGGGAGAGCCCAGCACAATGTCCAGCCACAACACTGCGCTTTACCCCCTCTCCCCAAAAGCCCTAGGTTCACAACTTGAAAGCTCAACAGTCGATTTCAAGGGGTCTGTGGAACCCAGAAATTCTGTCTGTCCTTGAGGGTAACATCAAGCAGTTTTTAGGGAGAGAAGCTTTGTCTTTTGACAAACTTCACAAGGTTCTTTTGTGGGCAGACACTCAGGACCATCTCCCGGCACTTAATGACTCTCCCTTCAGGACAGGGCTGAGTTCAAGTGCCACAGTTCCACAGCCTGAGCCTGGCTTTCCTCCCGTAGCCTGCAGGAACAGCTGTGCCAGCTCTTCCCCCGACTGAAGGTGCTGGCATTTGGGGCAAAGCCAGAATCCACCCTGCACACCTACTTCCCTTCATTCCTGTCCAGAGCCACCCCTAGCTGCCCTGCTGAGATGAAGAAAGAGGTGAGAACCCTTTCCTTGCCCAGAGCACAACTGCAGGCAGCCTCAGCTGGTGATTTCTCCGGTATTCTGCAGCTCACACCCACAGCCACCTGCCCCAGTCACTTGTGCTTTTACCACTGAGATGGGGGAGCGTGGTCAGTGATGCCCACTTGGAGACAAGGTTCTTACGCTCAAGCTGCAGCTGGGAACCACACCTACCCCGAGACAGCTTCTCAGCTTTCCAGGGGTCTTGACACTATTCCTCACCCTCAGCAGATGTGTTGTTACCAAAAGCCCCAGCATCCTCCTTTTCACCATCCTGAGGCCCTGGCATTCTCTCTCTCTCTCTCTCTTGTCCCATGCAGCTCCTGAGCAGCCTGACCCAGTGCCTGACTGTGGACCCCCTCAGCACCAGTGTCTGGAGACAGCTGTACCCCAAGCACCTGTCACAGTCCAGGCAGGTGGGGGTAGGGTCACCTGCTCTGATCTACACAGAGAAGGCTCCTACTGTATGCTTTCCAGACTTGGGCTGGTGTGTCATACCAGAAACACTGGTCACTGTTGTCTAGGCTCATACCTCCCAGTTTGGATGAGACCACAGCTGGGGTGGCCTTTAAAGAACTACTGTGGATGGGGATCTTTCAGCTCTAAGAACCCGGGAATTGGTAGGCAGAGAGGACAAGTAAGCCCAGGGTTGCTGCTGGCTGAAAGGGGCATACTTTTTCACAGCTTGCTGCTGGAGCACCTACTTAAGTCCTGGGAGCGGATTCCCAAGAAGGTAAGCTGCTGGGAGGATGTGGGAGGCTGGACCCAGTCTGGGTTCTTGGGTTTTGCCCCTTGACTTCCGTCCTCCCTTTCCTGCACTTTTGACACAAGTGTGAAGCAAGATGGAGGCTCAGGATCCTCTTTCTGGTTGGGCTCACATTCTCAACTCAACTCTTGGTATTCTGTAGGCGCGGAAGTCTTTGCAAGAAACCATTCAGTCTTTCAAGTTTGCCAACCAAGAGCTTCTGAAGAAGGGCAGTGGTTGCAACGAGCATGTTGTCACCTGTGATGTAGCCTGCAAGGTGTGACACCCAGCCTCTCCAGCCCACATGCAGTGTTAGTCTGTCCTGACACCCTTAGCTTGAATTGGGTCACATCCCTGTCCCACCCATCTGTGCATTCCCACTACCTCAGGCTTATATGCAGGCCTCACTTGGTGCTTGTGTGAGGAAGCAAGGACCAGCCCTCTCCACTCTGACTACCGTCTTCTCTCTCCTGCCAGGGCTTGTTGCAACAGGCACGGGGCCCTCGGCCACCCTGGGCCCGGCTAGTCCTGTTGCTTCTGGTCTTTGCAGTAGGGTTCCTGTGCCATGATTTTCGGTCCCACAGCTCTTTCCAGGGTAAGTCATCTGGGAAGAGAACATGGTGGGCAGCACAGGGCTATGCGCAGCATCTCCAAACCCCCACCCTCCTCCTGATAAATTCTCAGTCTGCAGAGCAAACACTTTCTACCTCAGCTATTCTGCACAGACTGGACATTCTTCCCTTCCAATTGTACTGATACTTCGCAGGAGAGAAATTACTCTACTTTACATCACCTAAATACATGTTTTCTCCTTTTAACTCCTGAGGGAGAAGAAAGCTGTAGCCTCAGATTAAGATCATGGCTAGTAGGACCAGAAAGACATGGTCAGACATGCTTGTTGCCAAGCATGGCAACCTGAATTCCATCGCAGAGGGCACATGGTGGAAGGAGAGAACCAACTCAACACGAGTCCTGACCCCCGTGTGCATGCTGTAGCATATAAACACGCACGTGTACATGCTAAATAAGCTAGTAAATTTAATTTTAAAAAAGGATCACAGCCAGTAAAAGGGCAGATATTCAAACCTGAGGTTTTTCTGACTTCTAAGTCCCAGACTCTACCCAGTGTCCCACTCTTCCTGTTCCTGACCCAGCAGAAGGTATTCAGTATTCAGCCCCTAGGGCCACATCTCCACCCAAACCTGTCTAGGTAGACCCGAGATCACTCAACTGCCCCACAGCCTCTCGGCCCACCCAGGAACCGGGACTGTCTATCTTCCAAGTCCTTGCACCTGCCCTCCCAGCTCACCGGAGGCTTCCTTTGCAGCCTCCCTCACTGGCCGGTTGCTTCGATCGTCTGGTTTCTTGCCTGTTGGCCAGGAAGTGTGTGCCAAGCTCTACTCCCACAGCCTACAGAGCTACAAGTGAGCTGCTGCCAAGGAAGGCAGGCTGGTGATCAGGGTGGGCACGGGCCGTGGGAGGGAAGACTCCTGTCCCTCCTCCCTTTTTCGGCTATTCTTTGGTGAGCAGGTTGGCCCCGGGGAAGCTCAGAGTATACCTCTCCCCTCCAATTTCTCTATAGCTGGCTGCAGGAGACATTGCCAGCCTGGGGCTCCCACCTGCTTGCCGTGGTGAAGCCCGGTTTGCAGCTGGCCTGGACACACACCAATGCCACGGTCAGCTTCCTTTCTGCCCACTGTGCCTCCTACCTTGCCTGCTTTGGCGACAGCCTCGCTGTCTTCTTGCAGAGGGTAAGCTGGAGAGCAGGAGTCAGTTGGACCCATCCCCCCAGGGACAGTAGTCTTGGAACACTTCTGCACGGGCAGAACCCTTAGGACAGGGGACATTGCCTTAGGCATCTTGTCCCAACCACTCTCCGTGGTCCTGCAGGTCCAGCTCCCTGAGGCCCTGCACCAGCTCTTCCACTCCTTGAAGGAGCTGCTGCTGCTCTTCTACCACAGTGTGCTGCTGCCCCTGTGGCACCTGCTGCTGGCGGTCCTGGCCCAAGTCCAGGAGCATTGCCATGAGGCCTGCAGGTAAGACCTCCACTCCAGGCTCTACAGGTCCCCCGGTGACCCCACGTCTGGCCACTGGGGACAAGGCTACACCGTTCATTTTGCCACAGCCACTCTGGGATGAAGATTCAAGCTGCAGTCCTGTGAGGTGACACAGTCCCACGCATGACCCCCATCCCTCTCCATTTTTCTGCCTTTCTCGTAGAGGGGAAGTGACCTGGGCCTGCATTAAGACACAGTTCAGTGAAGCTGCCCGATGGACCTGGCTCTGCCTACAGGACGTCACGGTGGCTTTCTTGGACTGGGCGCTTGCCATGATATCCCAGCAATAGACCCTGCCTGCCTGGCCACTGGCTTCTGTAGTGGGCAAGCTATCAGAGACTGCTGGAGGGTAGAGGAGGTGGCCCTCTCTTCACTTGGTGCCTGAGTCCTGTCTCCTAGGCAAGAGGCCAGGTGCCTCTGCCTCGTTTCTCCCATCTTCAAGGGACTGGGCTGGAGCTTCTTAGCCTCCTGCTCATGGGTCTGCTGGGTATCTCAGGCCCAGCTGCACAGCTCTCAGCCTCCTCTGGGATGGTAGCCTTTCTCCACTTCTCTCACCCCTCTCTGTTCCTCCATCTCATCACTTAAGCCACCACAGCCTACCTCCAAAAGGGAGGTAGCCCTTTGTTCCCATGCCTGGTCTAACGTGAGCCACAGCAGAAAAAGGGAAAGCACTTCAGAAGGACCAACACCACAGTAGGTGGGGCATCGTCACTTCTACCAGCAGCCTGGATGGCCCTCAGCAGATGTGCAGGCCGTGTGGACATGCCTGTTAACTCAGAACACCCAGAACAAGCAAGCCTTCCAAGGCCACTTGTGCCCTGCTCCATCTGTGAGCGCCCTGGCTTCTCAACTCCATTCCCCTCAGTGCCAGGGCTCCTCTCTCACACCTCAGCAGATCTGTCCACAGCACCATCCATCTGAAGAGCAGCACCTTTCCATCAGCCTGCTGAAGGGAATCAGCATATGGATCCTGGGTGGAATAAAGGACACAGACTGGATTTCCAGCTTTCTGCATCTTCATGTGGGAATGAATCCCCATAGTTTGGGGACAGAACAACAGAGCCTTGAGCTTCTGCCCTGGGTATTGAGTTTCTGGCAGGGAAAGTCCACCTTTATCACTCAAAACTAGGCTCCCATGATTTAGTTGGCTCTACTGATTTTGTCTGATTGGTCAATGGTTCCTACCCAAAAATTTGTCTCAGTGTGATTGGGAAAGCAGGATCCTTAATTGATTAGTTGGTTCATTTTATGAGGCAGTGGGTTTAGAACTCCAATTTATTACCAGTCTTTTCCTTTTAGTTTGAGACAGTTCATTGCGGGTGTGTTAGTTCTCACTTGTTTCTTGGACTCTTGGCAGCTTTGTTTCCCCCATATGCACCACAGAGCAGCAGGAGTGGCAGCCACTTACCTTTATAGCCTCTTTCCTGTGGCACGTGGAGATCCCTCGTTCCCTTCCCCAAGAGAAAGGAGCAAGTTTGGAAACATCTTGACCCAATTCACTCTGGCCTCTGGCTTTAGCCACTTATTTTAGGAAGTAAACAGCCACAGCAGGCTGTTCCTTGCTGCCCTAGTGACAGTTAATCGAGACCATTGCTCCCAGTGACAAAAAGCCCTGCCCATCCAAAGACCAAACGCTGCCCCACATGTGTTCTTGTCAGTCAGCCATGAATGGTTCAATCCTACATCATGTTGGAGAGGGCAGCCTGGAATAGCCACAGCACAGGATAAGACACTGCTATCTGAAGAATGCTAGCCTGGTTTTTGTGCTTTTAATCCAGCAACCTTGGGCATGTCATGGAGCTGTGCTGGCTTCTACTCTGCAGCAACTTTACTTGGGGTCATAATTTCTGGTATTTAAATTCTTAAATTGCAGTGTTTTTCTTCAACTTAAATCAGTTGGCATCTTCACAGCACCTTATGGGGACATTAACACCAACCTTACTCGGCTTTATAAGGCTGTTGGGGAAAGTGGCTTTTTCATTTTTTTACCCCCAGGTTAGGGACAGTACAGTGCTTTCCCTGTCTGTCAAAGTGCCACCTGCTCTCCATTAAAGCCAGACATCCAGACATTTCATTTCTGCAGAGCTGTCAACAAGTTGGGAGTCCAAGCTGAGCTAGTAAATTGAACCAGTGTGAAGCCCAGACTGTTTTCCAGTGGTACTGACACTGTTACCAGTGACAACAGTAACTGGGAGGGTGGGGAGCTGACCCCTTAGTCACACCTCATACAGCTGAAGTCCAACAGGTAGCAAGTCATGAGTGAATCTGTCTCAGTATGACCAGTTCCTACTTGGACCTAGACATAACCTGAGCCATTTCTAAACAGTCCAGTTTTGATTATACTTCATTTCTACCTTCCTTTGGCATCTTCAAGTCCTCAGCTTGAGTTTCAGATCACCAGACACCGCCTGGCGGGTAAGGACAGATAATGTTGCTGGGCTTACCCCTGCAGCATTTGTCAGCCAATGCGCAGACCACCACTGCTCTAGTATGGCTTGCTTTCCAGTGATGTCACCTAAGAGATGTGGGACTTGTGTGGATGCTTAAAATGGTCCATTCTTTTACTATAATAGTTTCCCAGCATTCATGGTATGGGTGAATATTTATTTAGTATCATGTATTTTGCACCTCAATAAAACCAAGGTACTGAGCTGGGCAGTGGTGGTGCACAGTCCTTTAACCACAGCACTTGGGAGGCAGAGGCAGGTGGATCTTTGAGTTTGAGGCCAACCTGGTCTACAAAGTGAGTTTCAGGACAACCAGGGCTACATAGAAAAACCCTGTGTCAGCACTCCCCCCCCAAAAAAAAAAAAAAAAAATCCTAATATGCTATTAGTGAAGTTAGCACACTGGTCATTCATTATTTTAGAGCAGTTTCAGATTCATTGTCAAGGGGAAAAAGAGACTTGTCCTCAACACCACCACACCTGCCTGCGCGCGCGCGTGCACACACACACACACGTTCCCCGTCACTGGTCTTTCACCAGTGCAGAACACGTTATACTGACCCTACATTGACTCAGCTACCACCTGAGACCTGTAGCTTAGACAAGCACTTGCTGCCATAGTTAGTAGGTGACATGAAATGCCCACTGCAGACCCAGGCACGATAGCTCAGTGACCAAGAGCACACCACTCCCGCAAGAACACCCATGTTCAGTTACCAGCTCGCACACTGGGTGGTTCACAGCCATCTGTAACTCCAGCTCAGGGGCCTGATGGCTTTGGTGTATACAGACCCAATTAAAACCACAATGAATCTTAAGTGTCCAGTGGCTTGTGTCCACCGCTCTGCCGACAGGTTTCACTGACCTACAATTGCCCTGCTTCCCCATGATGCTTCCACAGGGCCACTGGAGGACATTGGTCTTCACAATCTCCAGAGTTTTGCCTTTCCCACACTGCCATGGCATTGGTTACTGCACATAGTTTAACTTATAATCTCACCTACCACAGAGAAAGGTTTTTGATTAGTGGTCTCTGTTACACTTACCATGTTCCTATTAAACCACATGTTCCACAATTTCTGGGTCATAGCCATGTCTTGTGGTGTGGCTCTGCTGCACGCTGCTGGGGGTCCCTGGCATCATAGATCATTACACAGGGACAGACTGTCACTATGAAAGGTGCAAGATGTTAATCCCAGCACCCAGAGGCAGGCAGATCCCTGAGTTCAAGGCCAGCCTGGTCTACAGAGTGAGTTCCAGAATAGCCAGGACTACCCAGAGAAACCTTGTCTCAAAAACAAAAACAGAATAATAATGAAAAGCCAGAACTTGAGAGCTGGAGGCAAGACAGCCAGCAAGATGTAGAGAGACTGTGTCTCAGAAAAAGAAGAAAAAGTGAACATCTTTGTATACCAGTACTAAAAGTATGGTCGGAAATCCTCTAGAACCTTCAAGGAGTCTAAGAATTCAAGATTGTCCTCATAATAACGCTAAGTTATCATCTGCCTTTGTGAGTGGCATGAGTACAGCTGGGTTTAAAGACAAAACTGCCAGGGCACCAGCAAGAGTCCAAGTATTAGTCCTTTCACTTAAGCATCCTTGGTGGAGGGGAACGGGCTGTGACGCCGCGCCAGTGATCAGTGTTCAACCCACCAGACAGAACTCAGGGCCTTTGAGAGACTTGATCATTGTTAGGGAACCTGAAACAGTCTTTCTTCAAATAATGGAGACAAAAAGCAATAAACGGTTCCTTTTGGAGCTGGGTATGTGACAGTTATAGCAACTGCTAACATTTACTCAGGTCATCTTTTTAAAAATTTTTAATGATGCGTGTGTGTGTGTGTGTGTGTGTGTGTGTGTAACATGCATGTTCCTGCCGGAAGAGGCCATCAGAGTTCCTCAAGCTGGAGTTATGGGCAGTTTTGAGGGCTCCAGACAAGCTCTGGGGACTGGTCTCAGGCCCTCTGGAAGAGCAGCAAGTGCGCTTAACTGCTCAGCTACCGCTGTAGCCCCTACCCGGATTATCTTGATGACTGAGCTCAGTGATTCAGAACCTTTAATTACTTTTCAGTATTAGTGTCATCTAGTACTCTGGCTCCTGCAAAGATTTTTGCAGACAAGTATTGTGTGTGTCTTACAAAATTAAATAGCAAATCAATGTCATTGTTAAACCAAAAAGATCTGATGAAACAAAAACTATGCTGACTGACAGAGCTTTTGATGACCGGAAGTGTGTTGCCATTTATTTGAGACCTTCAGTTTATTGTGAGGGGGTGTGCACGTAACAAGACCAAGCCGAGCAAGTTGGCCCTCTCCTTGCACTGTGCGGTGTCTTGGGCTTGAACTCAGATCATCAGATACTGACTTTCACACAATGAATAAGCTGTTTCTTTTTTTTTTTTAATAAATGTGTGAAAGGATTGGATTGGTGTTCACTGTTTTTTTACATATTTGCTAGAATTCACATTGATGTTCTCTGCCTCTGAATTTCCTTCTACTAGCTATTTGTGGGTGTTTGTTCTGGTTTTTTGAGACAGGGATTTTCTGTGTAGCCCTGGCTGTCCTGGAACTCACTTTTTACATCAGGTTGGCCTTGAACTCATCGAGATCTGCCTGCCCCTGTCTCCCATGTGCTGGGATTAAAGATGTACACCACTACTACCCAGCTTCTTTTTTTTTTTTTTTTCCCAGTTTTTTCATATCTCTTTTGAGTCAATCTAAGTGATTTGTGTATTTCTAGGAACTTTCCAGGTATATGTAGATTATCTAATTTTGTTCTATAATTATCTATAGTACTTAATTTTTTAATTCTTTTCTTATAGATGCTTCTTTTTAAAAGCTGCATTTACTTCATGTGTGTGTGCACCTGTGTGTAAGTTCATGTGAAGCATCAGTGTGTGTGTGGTGTCTGTAGAGGTGAGCGGACAATCTGCAAGAGTTGGTTCTTTCCCTCCACCATGTGGGTCCCAGGGGTCAAACTCAGGTTTTCAGCCTGGCGGCAAGTGCACTTACCTGTTGAGCCCGCCTGACAGTCCAAGTGTTTTGTTTTAAAATGTATACCCATCCCTAAACATATTCCAAATACATTAGAATAAAATAGGAAAAAGTTAAAAGGAAGCTATGTGAATATCTAATACTCATTTGCAAAATAATGTGTTAAATATCAAAGCGACAGAGAAAAATCCTGGAGGAAATTGGTGATAAATGTAGAGACAGTTTTTGGTTTCTTTTAAAACACAGAAATGTTATGAGAATATGTTTTGGTTTTAATCCCAGTTGGGGAAAATGGGGCTGCTTCAGAGTCCCAACAGCAGTTGACTATCATTTGCCTTGTTGACTATGATTTGCAGGGGCTTGATTTTACCAGCTGCAGATAGTTTCTGCAAGTGTATAACATTTGAGATTCTGGGGACTCCTGAGAGGATATATGAATTCCAGAGAGGGAGGCTGAAATGGCTGCTCCTCCCCCTGCTCCTGCTATTGTTGCTCGTTGCTGTTGGGTGTGCTAAGAGAGAAGAAGAAATTGGATAGCCTACCAGCAAAGATCAACC